CTTTGAGTGATAGTCACTAAAAGTTCTAATTGGAGAATTAGACATAAATAAATTATAAGGCAATAATGTACCATCTATATACAGTTAAACCTGTCTATAACGCCCCCTCTTGGGACTCACCAAAATAGGGTGCTATAGAGAGGGATGCTATAGACAGGTCACTTTTAATATAAACCGCATCGTACTACGTATTTAAAATCGGGCGCTATAGAGAGGGAGGCGCTATTTAGAGGGGGTGCTATAGATAGGTTTAACTGTATATAAGAAATAATTCCATTAATCAGGATTGTTTCATTTTCCAATAAATTTGTGGGTATATGTAAATATGCTGTCCTAAAATTTTATATACATAGTTTGATTAAATATACCATAACGATGGTTCTATTCCTCACTGCCGCATATATAAGCAGAATTGTCCAATACACTATTAGAGTTCTTAAAAAACGCGGTCTCTCTGGTGGATTAAATTGGTGACTAAACCGCTGGGAGTGTTTACATCTAATAAGCCAGGCCCTCCCAATAATTTTTTATCGCAGAAAGGACATTACAATTTTTATTTTATTTGAAAAATAAAAATTATGATTATTAAAAAAAGGCTTTATTTCTTATATATAAATTAGAGGATATTTTATAAAAATCAAAGGTCGTTCTCCAGTCAAAAATGAACGTCAAAACTAAACGCCATCTTTTAACAATCGCCGCAAACTAACATCCTCGGGTCGGTGACAAAGCCACAACACCAGCTTTGACAAACTAAAAGGCGTTCACTTAGAAACACGGTTTCGGGCTAATGATCCTATTCAATCCAGGGTGGACTTTACTGCATGAGATACACGGGAGAGGCGACCTTTTTTTTATAGATCAATTTTTCTCGGCAAAATTTCCATCTGGAGAATATTTGTCCATTTAGTCACCAAAAGTCGAACTCGACTAACAATACAACAGTTCCAGTTCCAGTTCCAAATAACTTTATTAGGTGCCGTTCAAAAAGAACAACCTAGATCATCATATTTACAATATACTGAGGGGGGTGGTTATGTACAGGGGTTCATTTACAATTATAATTTATAATGATGTCGTTGGGTCCGGATTCTCAGGTCCTTGGGGATATTTTTCTTGAGAAGGTTTTTTCGGGCTTGTTTGATATTCAAGGTGGGTTTGTTTTTCCTTTTTTTCCACTTTTTCTTCGTCAATCACAAAGAGAAGTATCTTGTCAGCCTGCCATCGGATTTTTGATCCGATTCAATTTACCTGTCCAGCTACAATCAAGATTAAGAAGATGGTTCAAGATGCTTGGAAGGAGAATAAATCATGGGATGAACCGCTGAACGAAGACAGACGGGTCGAGTTCATAAAATGGAGGAAGCAAGCTTTAGAATTGGATCAGATCAAGATACCTCGATGGATCTTACCTATCAAAGGAAGAACAACATTGCACGTGTTTTGTGACGCTTCAGCTATAGCGTACGCAACGGTGATCTTCATGCGAATAGAGAATGCGTCAGTCATAGTTGTGCGATTCGTTGAAGCAAGAAATCGACTGGCAACTATTAAGAGGATCACGATTCCACGACTGGAACTATTAGCCTGTTTGATTGGAGCACGACTGTTGGTGCATGTTCTGGAAAATTTAGAAGAAAGTCCGGAGAAGATTCAATGTTGGACAGACTCCAGTCCTGCCCTATACTGGATACAACAACAAGAGAATTGGGCTCAGTTCGTTTCCAACCGTGTCAAGGAGATCACAACACTTACGAAGAATGAAGATTGGAACCATGTCGCAGGGGAACACAATCCAGCAGATCTTCCATCCCGTGGTGAATCCCCATCGAAATTCATAAAATCCGGATGGTGGGAGGGACCAAAATGGCTTCAGGAAAAGAAAGAAGACTGGCCAGTATCAAAAGTACAGTATGATCTGGAAGCCATTGAAGAAGAGAGGAGGAAGACTGTGGTGGCTGGATTTGTAGCCAAAAAGCCCGAGGAGAATCCATGGTATCTGAATCTATACGAGGGAAAACGTGAAGTGACTCTAACACAAATACTGAGAGTAATCGCGTGGATGCTACGTTTCAAGCCCTCTGAATACAAAGGAGATGTCATCTCACAAGAGGAGCTAGACAGTGCTGAAAAGTCCCTAGTTAAGATAATACAGAGTGAATCAATCGGTGAGGAAGATCCCAAGATGAAGCAGCTACACGCGTTCCAAGATAAAGAAGGATTATGGAGAGTGAAAACGAGGATAGTGAATCGAAATGACGATGAACTGTTCCGATTGCCAATTTTGATCCCAACGAATCATCCGGTCACAGAGCTAATTGTGAAATCAGTCCACGAGAAAATGTACCACTGTGGAGCCCAGACGCTGCGATCAGTACTAAGAGAGAAGTTCTGGATTCCAAAAGCTCGACAACTAGTTCGTCATGTAATTCATAAATGTCCTCGCTGTCGACGATTTGAAGCCAAGCGAGTCGACGTACCAGAGGCATCGTTGCCTCAACATCGCGTACGAGATGTTGTGGTTTTTGAGGTGACAGGAATTGACCTCGGAGGACCTTTATATCTGGAAGATGGACAGAAGGTTTGGTTCGTCATCTTCACCTGTGGTGTATACCGTGCGGTCCACCTCGAACTGGTGACTTCATTATCGACAGAAGCATTGGTGGGAGCAGTAGAGAGGTTCGTAGCAAGACGAGGTTGCCCTGCAGTCATCTACTCAGATAATGGGACGAATCTAGTTGGACTCCGGAACGAGCTTTATCGAGTTAATTTTGGAGTGAAATGGAAGCTAAATCCTCCGGCAGCACCGTGGTGGGGAGGTTGGATCGAGAGAATTGTTGGACTCACCAAAAAACTGCTTCGAAGATTGCTGGGAAAACGTGTTGTCAACTACGAAGAAATGGTGACGATCCTCGAAAACTGTGAACGAGTTATCAACGCGCGACCACTCACCTACATTGCTGAGGACAATGATGATCTTGTGCCATTAACCCCAGAGATGTTTCTTCGAGAACCAAGAGCTGAAGGAGAAATTGATCTAAATGAATTCAGGTGTAACTTTGGGAAGAGCTATGAGAAACGCAAGCGACTCCTGAAGGATTTCCGTAAGAGGTTCAGAAGCGAGTACCTAGGATTGTTGGTGCATCACGACAATCGCAAGAAACAACGACAGTTAAAAGTTGGAGATATCGTCCTTGTGGAGGTTGAAAACAGGAAGCAAATAAACTGGCCTATGGGAAAGATTACGAAGGTGTTTCCTGGAACTGACAATGTGCGAAGACTTGTGGAAGTTAAGACTAAGTCTGGATTCATGAAGCGTGCAGTGCAACGATTGTTCCCACTTGAAGTACCATCTGTGGACGTAGAGCAAGGCGACGGGGAGCTTAAACCAGCGGAGGATGAGATCGTCAGGGAGAAAACATCCGGTGTGGAGTCCACGTCAGCGCAAGAGAAAACTACTCCAGTAAAAGTAGGGAAAGTTTACACGCGTTCTGGAAGAGAAGTCAAGTTACCGATTAGGTTTAATTGAAGTTTGTTTTTTTAATTAATATTGACCTTATAGCAAAGTTCAAAAGGTCAAGGTGGGAGAGTGACACGAAAATAGGAACTTTTTTGGACCAACCGAACAGTGGCAACACGGCCGGCGGCCGCCGCCCGCGCATGCGCGGGCAAGAACAAAAGACTTAGCCCTAAAACTTCCGGTAAACAAAGGCTGCTTTTCGACTTAACGTTTGGTTTTGACGGGCCAGAAAAGGAACTATCCCTTCATAAATTTTAATAATTGTTTTTGAATAACATTTGTATTGATATTAATTTGTGTGATTTTTTAAAATAAATATTTCTATCAATAAGTATTAATTCTTCATCACTGTTTACTAACTTAGGCTTCGTCATTCAACGTTGTGACACTTCTACTGATCCCTGCAACAAAGGTATTGATTTACCAATTTATAATTTTTCAAATCAGTTTCCAGCATTACTGTAAAGCTAGGAACGTTTAGTTCAGGTTAAGCCATCGGGACCTTGTATTGTCTTTCTTTTTTTCAAATCTAAGACAAAGACAACACTTGGAATATTTGACCAAATTCTGGTCCAAGATGACTAACGTGGCAACGGCACCCATTTTCCAATGAAGAGCAAAGATAGTGGACATTGCGACTGCTGTGATAGAGAGATGCATGAAGATATCTGAGGATTCTTCATTGGACACGACAAAAACAACAAGACTTCCTCCCTGCTCTCTCTAAACAAATAACCCTCCAAGAATACTCAAAGCTTTAAGAAATTCTTCAAAATCTCAAGACAAAAATTTTTTTACAATTGTCATAACGAAACTAGAAACAAACTTTAAGGATTGATAATATTGTGATGTGGAAATTGCAGAGAGCGATGTAACAGACGCTCACTCAATAATAAATGACAATTTAATAAAAATCAAGTAAGATATAAATAAGTTTAATAAGTTATGAAGTAGAACTTCCATGAGAGGACACTCACGCTAAATGATACCTCTCTATAAAGGACAGTTTTCATTTATAAAATTACCATTTTTACTATTTAGCAACTCTCCAGTAAGAGGACACATCTCCCTAAAAGACACTTTGGCTCTACAATTAGGTGTCCTTTACAGGGAGGCTCTATTGTATATAAACAAGTTATGTAAATTAAATATGGCGAGAGGAAGGAAAAGAAGATCGTTTATTTAACTCTCAGAACATTCGAATCCTCGCGGTCCAAGACACATATGCAAGTCACCCGTCAACACCTTGCTTCTTTAAAAACCGTTACAATATTTAAAAATTTCTGAATTCCCTTCAACTTAATAATGTTTTAATATTCAAAATGATCATCAAATTCTATTTGCACTCAAGCATGATGTTGTATCAACCAAATCAAATTTGTATAAAGAAGAATGACATCTTGACAAAATATGAATATAGCGAAATTAAGAAAATATTCCAATACTAATAATCACAGGTAAGTCGTTATTTAAGAAAATGACCAGGGTAACCTAGTGGACATGGCATCTGCTCGGTAAGCGGAACATTGTGGGTTCGTTTCCCACCCTTAGACACTTTTATTTTTCCGTTTATCATTACTCTTCACAATTCATCCTTTCATACCTCATTCCTAAGGTTGGAAATGATCGTTATTTCTCCTTGGGGTAAATGCAAATTTTGATTTTTAGTTGAAAAGAAACACATGCGGGATAATTTTAAAATGTCGTTTTACAATCATAAGCCGCATTATATTGCATTATAAATTACTTTATGTATCATTTACGAACGGAAAAATATGCCCAAGGTAGCCTAGTGGACATGGCATCTGCCCGGTAAGCGGAACACTGTGAGTTCGATTCCCATTCTTGGGCACTTTTATTTTTCCGTTTATCATTACTCTTCACAATTCATCCTTTCATACCTCATCTCTGAGGTTAGAAATAATCGTTATTTCTCCTTGGGGTAAATTTTGATTTTTCGTTGAAAAGAAACATATGCGGGATAATTTTAAAATGTCGGTTTACAATCACAAGCCGCATTATATTGTATTATAAATTACTTTATGTATTATTTACGAACGGAAAAATATGTCCAGGATAGCCTAGTGGACATGGCATCTGCCTGGTAAGCGGAACACTGTGGGTTCGATTCCCATTCTTGGACACTTTTATTTTTCCGTTTATCATTACTCTTCACAATTCATCCTTTCATACCTCATCTCTAAGGTTAGAAATAATCGTTATTTCTCCTTGGGGTAAATTTTGATTTTTCGTTGAAAAGAAACATATGCGGGATAATTTTAAAATGTCGGTTTACAATCACAAGCCGCATTATATTGTATTATAAATTACTTTATGTATTATTTACGAACGGAAAAATATGTCCAGGATAGCCTAGTGGACATGGCATCTGCCTGGTAAGCGGAACACTGTGGGTTCGATTCCCATCCCTGGACACTTTTATTTTTCCGTTCATCATTACTATTCACAATTCATCCTTTCATACTTCATCCCCAAAGATAGAAATAGCCGTTATTTCTCCTTAAAATAAATTACGATTTTTCGTTCAAAAGAAACATTTGCGGTAAAATGTGTTAAACGTCGTTTTACAGCAGGTATATGTTTCTTGTTAAATAAAACAACTTTCTACTGCCCTTTCTGCAATAATAAAATAAAATGGGAGACCACTTTTGTATGTTAATTTTATATTCGAATTTAGCTGTTTCTCTCACTGAAAGTTGCCTATTCTATATTTATGTAAAAAGTTAATCAGTTTTTATAGTTTGTTTGTTTTTTAAGTGTGTACGTTTCAATGTGTTGTCATATGAAGCTGTTGCTTCATTTTTTAGACAAGTTTGATTTTTGGTTGAAAAGAAACACATGTGGGATAATTTTCAAATGTCGTTTTACACACAATATATGTTTAAATGAATTATAATTTAAAATATTTATAAAAAAATTGAAGATAGAATTTGCCTGGCCGGCATTCACAGTTCTGTAAAATTAGAGACAATTGGGTGATATAAGAAATTTTTATTTTCTTGACGTTTTGACAAATTATTTTGTTTTATACTAGCTGTCTTGATTTTATAAATTTAATTGCCATATATCGTTAAAATTTGGTATAAATAAATTTACTGGCAATGTGTTTCTTTAAATATAATATCATCAAATATTATCTCTACAGACCTGATATTTTTTTTTATTTAGGATATTGATGATATTATTTAAAGAAATACATTGCCTGTGAATTTATTTGTTACTAATTTCCTAGTTTGTTTGTTTTTTAAGTATGTACGTTTCAATATGCTGTCATATGAAGCTGTTGCTTCATTTTATAGTCCAGTTCATATCAGGTTTTCTACTCGATGTTTTAACTTTGTAAAAAGGTCTTCCAAGGATAGTATTCCTCTCTTATCCATTCTTTTGAAAGGTTTCTTGAATACAAGAAAATTACGATATACCATTATAAAATGATAAAAAAATCTTTGGCAATAAGTTTGTTTATTATGTAAATCGCGAAATTTAGATCTCTCGCTCTTCAACAGGCAACATTGTAATTGTGAGTGAGCACGGAGGCGATATCTACATTTGGTTGTTATTTATACTTGACTTGGGATATAAGAAGTTTATTGTATAAATATTTATTAAGTATTTAGGCCTTTCTACAGGAGTACAGTAGAACCTCCCTTTAGCGGACACCCCGTTTGAGGACACCTCTTCACAAAGGACACTTTTTATTTGCAAAATAACCATTTTTACAATTTAGTAACTCTCCGTTAAGAGGACACCTCTCCCTAAAGGACAATTTGGCTCAGGAAGGTTCTACTGTATATCGGAGTTCAGACAATAACTCTGAAAGATATTTGATACACAGTAACCTTTATTGAAAACACACGAGATAACCAAGTGTGAACAAACAGGGAGGTTCTACTGTATATCGGGATTCAGACAATAACTCTGAAAGATATTTGATACACAGTAACCTTTATTGAAAACACACGAGATAACCAAGTGTGAACAAACAGGGAGGTTCTACTGTATTACTGATACAAGAAACCTTTCCCTGGAAACATTTTCTCACCAAATAATACATGGCAGTGAATTGTTGGATATTTGTTTCAAGTGTTTTGATGAGAAGGTTTGAATTAGTTATTTTTTAGGCTGAGTTGCTGATTTTGCGGTGTCATGGGGTTCCTTGAAATGGTCTTTTCGCAATGTAATGTAATGAAAGTGGTTTGTTCTATACATTTTATTTTATATACATTTAGATTTTTCTGGATGTTTGTTGAATTTTTGATGAAAATCTCAAACTCTATTATTTGAGGGATCCGCTTGCACTTACAACATTTTGTCTCGCCTTTCTTTTTGGGTATTCGTAAGATGCATGTTCCCTGTACTTTTTAAACATCTTAATGGATTTCTATAAATCTATTGGACATTAATTATCCTTTGGCATATATTTGTAACATAATTGCATATAATATTTTAACAGTTCTTCTTTTATCTCGATTCATAGTCTATACACCTATCCCCCGATTTACACGGTACTTTTTTACACGTTTTCGCTTTTACACGGTTTTCCAAATAAGTTTTTTTTTTTTTGTTTTTAATCGCACTATACTAAATGCTACTGTGATTGAACACATGCGCTGTGTACACATCTCACGAGGAATCCCGAGCTTATGTGCTGACTACATATTTTAACCTGTCAATGCATTTTATTTTTATTTCTGTGTACACCTATCTCCTGTTATACGTTCTTCAAACCGGTATTTCACTAGCGACATAGCTGGTTTTATGATCAATTCAACCAATTTGAAACCAACACTGTAAGATTGGTTTCTTTGGTGTAGCATCCTTGTTTTACAATCTATATCCTATTACTTAATAATATTATTTATTTGGTTAATTCAGAATTTTCTAGAGCGTACAGAAGACGCCAACTACCCGTCCGTTATACCTAAGTCTTTCTTGTTTTATTTACGATGCGCAAGTGGATTTCAAATTTATGATGTGTCGCTATGAAGGTTTATTTCTTGGAAGATTTCCACTTAATAATAATAATTAAAAAAATAGAAAACTGTGTCAAAATTCAACTGATTCCATAGAAAGAATAAAAAAATCATTTCCAGTTTTTTTTAAATTACACCTAGTATACGTTTCTTGAAAATAAAGATACTTCGACCAGTAAATCTTTTTATCACCTCGACGTTTCGACAAAAAAACTTTTGTCCTCGTCAGGAGCAAACAAAAATTAAAACATTTGGCAAGGCGTTAAAAATTATTTTTAAATTAATTAATTTTTAATTAGAGAATAATTTTTAACGCTTGGCCAAATGTTTTAATTTTTGTTTGCTCCTGACGAGGACAAAAGTTTTTTGTCGAAACGTCGAGGTAATAAAAAGATTTACTGGTCGAAGTATCTTTATTTTCAAGAAATATGAATGCCGACCAGGCAGCCTCTATCTTTACTAGTACACGTGGTACAGGCCATGATAATCATGGTAGGTAGTTAGCGACTGCTTTTACTGTAAATGCACCACATGTCTACACATGTGAAAAACAGTTCGACTTTGCACTTACAAATGTGCCAAAGCCCCGTTTGGTTAATTGCACTCGCTGGTGGGGTTGGACTTTTTCAAGAATCGGGGGCCATTGGAGCATTTTTTTTTTTTTTAGAAAAAAAAAAAAGTGCCCAATGCGGGATTCGATCACGGGTCGTAGCGGTCGAAAACCAACGGTTTAACCACCCTTCAACCTCTAATGGGTGCCGCTCAAAAAGAACAATCCAGTTCTTCATATTTACAATAATGACAAATGAGAATAAATATAATGAATAAAAAAGCATTTTTTAAAATCCTTCTAGACTCATTGACATAACATAAGGAAGTGGAAAGTCTTTGATGTCTCTTTTTTTCGTGTATCTTCAATAAAGGTCACTGTAATAACTTTCAGAGTTATTGTCTGAATCCCTTTATGCATGCTAAAAGGTACAACTTCCTTAAGTTTTGTTCACATTTGGTTATTCCGTGTGTCTTCAATAAAGGTCACTGTAATAACTTTCAAAGTTATTGTATGAATTCTGATATACATGCTGAAAGGTACAACTTCCTTAAGTTTTGTCCATGAGTATGTCTTCAATAAAGGTCACTGTAATATCTTTCAGAGTTATTTTCTGAATCCCGATATATAAATGCTAAAAGGTACAACTTCCTTAAGTTTTATCCATGAGTGTATATTGCGGTTATAATTTTGTAAACATACTTGGAAACTTGACTTTGCAACATCATGGTCGACTATGTTATCAAATTGTTGGATTTTATGTGGTAATACACTGCTAAGCATCTTTTGAGAAAATCTAGTTTGTTTTGGGCGCTGTTACAAGTCAAATATTATTACTAGAATAGAAACTTTGATAAATCAAACAGCTTTAATTCGAAAAAGTCTTTAATTCGAATATTTATCTTGGTCCCTAGAATTTCCTATACATATAATTTTCTTTTTTAATTAGAATTTTTGGATAATTCGAAATTGTTTTGGTTCCTTGGGCTTCGAATTAACCAGGTTTGACT